CGCAGTACCGATACTGTACCGGTAAAATTGATTAGGTACAGGTCCAAAATACCTAATCCCTCAGTACCGGTACTGTACCTAAACAATTTCACACCAATTTTATGCCTATTTGTGACCTCAAATGTGTAAATAGCTGGTTAACAATGGGTCCCTGTGTAAGGACAGTGTGTTCATGAAAACAAAAACATATATATAGCCTATATTTTATCTGAACATTCGCCATAAACAAAGAATAAACCTTAACTATCAAGTTTATTTATGTTTTTTTTGTTATTGAAGGAGTTCAGAAGAGCATATAAATTGGTCGAATTGTTCAGGTACAGGTTCAGGTCCGGACCTGTACCTAAACCTGTGTACCTGTACCTGTACCTGTACCTAAAATTTGTTTAGGTACACAGCTCTAGATCATATACATCAATCTTAAATCCTTGTATTCAAGTTTATGCTTCATTTAGTGTTACATTATGTACTTAATAATGGTAGGTTTTAGAAGACTTTAGCGATGTCGCCATACTGTTGTTTTGCCAATAAAATACTTCTCATTACAAGTGTTGACACAAAATGCTACATTGTCATTAAACAAAATAAAAATACAGGAAAATAAAAAATTCGGGACCAAATGTTTGCTTGTGGACAAATAATTCACCCCATTTACTGAAGAAACAATAATAAATGCTTCTAAAAATGCATTAAATGATGTTTCAGAGAGGTTGAAATTTAGATAAAATTTTATAGCCTTAACAGCCAGCGGTCCATTAAAAAAAGGCTAGGGTTGGGGGTTTTGGCCAGCGGTCCATTAAAAAAAGGCTAGGGTTGGGGGTTTTGGCCAGCGGTCCATTAAAAAAAGGCTAGGGTTGGGGGTTTTGGCCAGCGGTCCATTAAAAAAAGGCTAGGGTTGGGGGTTTTGATACAATCACCGGGAAACACACTTTCCCTAGGTCTAAGTCCAATATCTTGTAGTGGAAACTACAGTTCAGGGCTTGAAATTCATTTTTGGGAATAAGTGCACTGGTGAACCTAAAAAATTGGGTGGACAAAAAATATTTGGGGTGCACCATATAAAATAAAATAACTACACAATGTAGATGTAAATTGTCAGCAATAACTAATTATGTTTCATTTCCATTCCAAGAAAAGTACTACATCAATGATTTTATTATTTTTCTGACTCTTAGATGTTAAGAATATGCTGTATACTATACATCTAACACCTTTACATGATTTTTAGGTAAACCTACAAAAATATTATTAAGGTGCACTGGTGGGTGCACAGCTCCAAATTTGGGTGCACTAGGCACCCAGTACTTCGAGCCCTGCAGTTGAAACCTGCATCATGACAGATGAGGCCACACCAATTTAATTTCTTGGTTAACAGGTTTTTCTAGAAAAATAATGGAGCGGGTGGGCAAAAAAAATAATAAAATAAAAACAGGCCTAGGCATCCTATTATGGCCCAAAATGGTATTATACTGAGCCATGAAGTCAACACACCAGGCTGGTCCAAAATTTAAACAATGAATTTTGAACTTTTAATGATACCATTGCATTGAAAGATGGAATAACTGTAACAACTAGGAAGAAAAGGACTGTTTTCAACTGTTCAGGGCAAAATATGAGCATTTTGCAGTCGATTCTGAATTTTTATTTTTATTTGCAAATCAGAAAAAAATGAAGCGGGCGAATTCGTTAACCAAGAAATCAAATTGGTGTGGCCTGAACGTACAAGAAAAGTGTTTCCCATTGCTGTGGCTTACACAGTATAGACTACTGTGTAATACTCAGCCTGGCAACTTTGAAGGTGCAGGCCTTTCAGAACTGTACACTCATCACGACATGCATCTCACGGGATGTTGTAGTAGTAAACAAATAATCTTTTGTCCCGTGTAAGCGAGATCTTAATCTTCACTGTGGCAGCAAGTGGGATGGGCAAAAGACAATCGATGATTTGATAACAGTAATGAATTGATAAATTCACAGATTTGGAGTCACCTTGAAAAATGTGAACATAAAAGTACCTTGAAAAAATCCAGACTAACAGAACTTCATGAAACCCTTTGTTTTTCTTTCTGTAGTCATGCATGCATGACACTGACATGAACTTGGTCTGAGTGGCTCTAAATAGCTTCAGGGTAAACATAGTTTTACAGACAGGGCTCGAAATTCATTTTTGGGAATAGGTGCACTGGTGCACCCAACCTAAAAAATTGGGTGCACAAAAAATTTTTGGGGTACACCATATAAAATAAAATAACTAGAATGTCAGCAATAACTCATGTTTCACATCTAAAGAAAAGTACTGCAACATTGATTTTATTTTTCTGACATTCAGATGATGATTCTATTATTTTTCTCACACTCATCTTTTCATGTTACGTAAACCTATGAAAATATTTAGGTGTGCTGGTGCACTTACAGTAAAAAATTGGGTGCACAGCTCCAAATTTGGGTGCACTAAGGTGCACATGCACCCAGTATTTCGAGCCCTGTACAGGTGTACAAAACATGTACATACACGTCCTTTCTTTCTTGGAATTTCCGTGGGTCTGGACTTCACTGAGTTCTGCACAAGACTACACTGAGGAGCATCGTTGAAACTCGAAGTGGTGCGAACGTATCAGGGATTTCATGGACTTTTGGATAACAGCAGAGGTGGTGGAACAAGACTGAACTGGAACGGTTGGTTGTACATTTTCTTGTCACTCTTTCTTGGAATTCTTCAGAAGCAAAGCTGAAATTCAAACGTGGAAGGGAACTAGGAAGTTCGAGACTGCATGGACACAAATGTACAGACAAGATTGAACTGAAACGGTTGACTGGATATTTGAACTCACTCCCTCTCAGAATTCTTCCCCAGACAACACTGTCACAAGTCACAGTCAACAAGAACAAGCAGCTGGCATAAACACTATGGAAACTCAGGAAGAACCAAGCGACCAAGAAGGCAGTCGACTGTGGCAGACACTCCGTGCCGGATTTGGGGTGACCTTGGTTCTCGTCTGTACGATTTTCTTCGCTCTAGCCGGAGACTTCATGAAGCTAAGTAATGCCGGAGGTTTCTCCTCTTTCCAGATCATTTTTCTGAACCGTACCACCGTCTTCGCGTTCAACCTCATCCTTTTTGCGTATGTACGACCTAGTTTGTTAGGAGAAACACGAAAGCAAACCGGAATGCTCGTCATAATGGGGGTGGGGAGCAACATTGCCACCATTTTGTTAATGTTCTCTATCATTTACGTGTCTCCCGGACAAGCGTATAGCATTATACGCGGGTTAGGACCTGTGTTTACGACCATAATGGCACTGGTGTTCTTAAAAGAGACCGTTGCAATTGTTAACCTGTGTGGGATTGTTATATGTATAGTTGGGGTTGTGTTAGTGGCTGTGGGAATGCAGGAGAGAGAGACGCTCTCCGACGAACCATCAGAAATCGCCCGGTCGATCCTTCTACCGTTGTTCGCGTCACTGAGTCTCTCCGCAATGATGGTCCTTGGACGTTCGCTACTGCGTCACACCGTGCACTTGTTCACGGTCGTGTTTTACATCCAAGGCATCGGGGTAATCATACTCTTACCCTTGATGCTGATTTTCGAAAACCCAGTCTGGAAGCTCGACTCCCAAACGTGGGCGTACGCGTTCGCTCACGCCGGTAGTTACAGCGCCGGCCTGTTTTCTCTCTACACAGGGTTAAAGTTAGAAAAGGCGGGGATCGTGCAAGCGCTAGAAAACGGGGTGATTCCCTTTTCTTTGCTGTTTGACTACGTGTTGTTGAAAAAGGAACCAACATACATGGAGGTTGGGGGAGGGGGGCTAGTGTTGGTGGGGTCCATCATTGTTGGGACGTACACATGGTGGCTGAACAGGCAGGAGGAACGAAGGAAAAAACTGCAGAACGAACTCAACTTTGGGGACAAAAAAAGCTATACAATGGGAGTCTCAGAAGAGAACTTATCAGGGAAAACATCATATAAAAAATAATCTCTTTCTCTTCTTCTCAAATTAAATACTATTACGTAACCACTATGACAGAACAGTTACCAATTAAAATGGTATTTCTTTTATATCATGTTTCATATGTTTTCCTTTGCACAAGGAAAACATAATTTGTTTTTTTAAGGTTTTCGCTATTTCTTCTTCTCTATACACATAAGGTCAATGACCTGGACCAGATGGCTGTCACCGTGGTAACTGGTGCTGTACATGTACACATAGCAGACACCATATGTGGTATTGGCTTACATTTTAGCAAATTGCAGGGTCTGGTCAGATATAATTATGTATGATGAATATGCTTATAATGAGTAAGAATAAACAGAGCAGTAGTTTGTTATGGCTAGACCATGTGAAGGTAAACAATTTGTCATTGCTTTGCAAATGTTACCTTTCTAGTCTTATGTACAATGTATGTTTATGTGTTTATAAATTATGAAGTTTACTAGTAAGTGATTGTGGTGTGTGCTATAGCCTTGTTACGTTGGTATATCTTCTCGATTCCATGAAGTATATAATTTTTATTTGAAACTACAAGGTACAATATGTATGACTGTGCAATAGCTGCATAACTGTTGTACCTGCAATTTTTTTGTGTTACTATTGTATACCTAGTGGTGCATACCTAAGCCCAATTTTAGGTTCAGGTCCGGATTCAAGTCCAGAGGTTTAGGTTCAGTTCCGGACTTGTAAGTCCGGACCTAAACCCATGGCATATACAAAATTGCATGTTGGCAACCTTGCAATGTTGTCTGGGTGAAACTTTGGCCACATAACATGGAGGCCGGTACTTGACGATGCCCAATGGCAATGTTTTCTTCATTTTGCAGCAAGAATTTTGCAATCTACGGAAGGTTTTAGGTGGTTTGGAAAGAAAAGGGGTATGTGAAATGGTCTTTTATGGTAATAAGTCCGGACTCGGTTCTTGACTTTTAGGTTTTTTTGGACTTGAACCTAAACATTCTTACAAGTCCGGATCCAAGTCCAGTGAACCGGTATGCAGCACTATGTATACCCATGTAAACATGTACTACAGAAGGTAGTACAATAATTACAGTTACTTTAATTTTGATCCATTATGTAAGCTACAGGATATAAATGTATGTGCAAGAGCTGAAGACATACATGTACGTGTATATCATCACATATCACAACCTAGAATTGATGTACAACAATACTTTTGTTTGTCAATAAAATACTTCTCATTACACATGCATGTTTGTTAAATATTTATCAACTGCAACTTCTTCTTCTATCTGATTATTCCGATTCAAATTCAAGGAAAAGAAACTTTGGGACTGTCTGAAGGACCCGTCCACCTGTTATACTGAAAAAACTTGAGTATGCTGTCACCATGTCTTGTGATTTGTGGCATAAGTACAAACAAAGAAAAAGAAAAGCGTTCTAATGTACTCACAGTGCCAGATGATCTTGAGTTCCACCAGGAGTTTCCTAGAACCGGCTGAACCCGGTCCTGAACCGCCCGGTAACCGGTTTATCGTCTCCCCCTTCCGGTTATAGATCTCCACTTTCATGGCACCTGTGTGTGCCAAACAACAAAGGAGGGTCAAAATTTGGTTCTCAAAGTCCAATTAAATGCAGTTCATAATTTATCAGGACAATCTAGAATCCCTGAAAGTAAATATTGCTAAATATTCTAAATTTTCTGTAATAAAAAACTAATATAATAATAATATAATAACAGTTTTTTTAAAGCTCATCGTACAATTTTCTCTTATGTTGTTACATACTGTAAATCGCTCTATATTCACGGTTCTTTTATATGTGCGATTTTTGTAGTCACTTCTGTAACATAAATTTATCATTACCGCAAACAAATAATTCACCAACTTTCTTCCTTCTGCACCTGCCACCACTGCAAATATATAGTTCCTTGAACATGTCCATCTTTCTCAGACCATGAAATTTCGCTACCGCAAATATATGAAGTGATTTACACTGTAGCTCCCTCTACCCTCCCCCAATGTTAGTGGTCTGTCCCTGACCTATTGTCCTCCCAGCTGGTATCTTGTCATTGTTCTGAAGACTGTCTCCTTCTGGCCACTTCACCACCACTTTGTCTGGGAGCCTGAGGGAGAGGAACAGACAAAACAATGATATAATAAATCAGGAATAACTTCACTAAGGGTTAGTCTGGGCACAAAATACTTTTGAGGCACACAGAGCAATTTCATGGAAGCAAAACTGGATTTTTTTTAAAGTCAATTTTGCAGAAATTCCATTACAGTTATTAAATGTTACAGTAACTGTAATAATAAGTTTAATCTATCCTACCCCATACTGATATCTGTGAGATATCTGTTAGATTTCCTCACCCAGAATATCTTTGTTTTGACACCCTGAAATTGCATAGGATGCCTTTAAGGGCTTTGAGCAGATTAACCTTACTTTGCCTCTTCTTCTTCAATGTATTTCTTGGCCTGTAGTTTGGTGGTGGAGCGGTCAAGTTTGGACAGGTGCAGAATTTTCATCTCGTCATACAAGGAAGATGGCTCCTGAAATAAATACAAACATTTTCTTCCCTTAATAACATGAGCAAAACAAACAAAAAACACAACCAGAAAATCATTAAAATTGACAGAAACTGTATTGAAAGTTTTATTTCAGAATCTTATCAATTACAGACAGAAATTGTGTCATGTTACGTTGATGACAGGTAATGAGATACACAAAAAAAGTTGCTTATTATAAATAACTTTATCTTTAAAAGTTGTAAAATTGCTTGTATTTGTAGAATCTAGAAAAGGCAGTAAGAACGAATTTAAGAAAACTATTCAGCAAGGGGGTTGAAGTTTGCAAGTATCTAAAATATCTAGTATCCAACTGACCTGTCTGATCTCCATCTCTCCTCCTGTAGCGAACACCTCTCCCTCGTAGTCTCCGTGCAGAAGGAAACGTTGGATTGTTCCGTAGATGATCGGGACAGTACGCTGAGTTCTCACCTGTAGGAATACAAAACCCTTCTGTCAAACTCAAAACTATCTAAAAAATCTTTCTAACTGAAGGAATATTGCTGGATTGTGCCAGTGTTCCCACCTCTCTTTCTATGAAACACCTGTTTCAAACGCTATCGCAGTCAAGGTATAACATTTTTCAACAGTCAGTGGGTTTTTTACATCCGATGTTTTGGTGACCTAACAGCAGTACAAATTAGAACCAGTCATTGTTGCCCTGAAGAAGGTGACAGATGGTCTTATGCTGATAACAAAGTTTCCTCACCAGTTGTCCCTCCTTAAACACCTTGCCGTCCCACTCGATGGACTTGAAGACGGCCCAAGGAGCCTGCTGTTTCTTGGAGGCTAGCTCGGGCCTGGTGATGGAGCCACCAAACCCGCAGAACTTCACTTGTTTGTCGTACTTCTCATGGCAGTCCTTCAACCACTCAAAGAACTGGCGGTCTATCTTTGCTCGCTGTTCCTAACATGGACCAAAACAAAATAATAATTTTGTGAATAATTTCATCAGGTTGGTAAGAGACTGTATCAAGACCTACTTTTGTACCTATACCATCCCTTACCTTTTCTTCCCCCTTAAAGAGTTTTGGAACCCTCCCTTACATGTTCCTTTCCTTCCCCAAAATGATTTTTGGACCCTCCCCTACATGTCCCCTTCCTTCCCCCAAAAAATGTTTGAGCCCTCCCTAACCCCCACCCTCCTTCCCCAAAAATATTGTTTGAACCCTCCCTAACATGTCCCCATGTCCCTTTCCTTCCCCCAAAGTAATTATTGAATCTTCCCTTACCTGTCCTTGTTTGACCATGGAATAGGTGGTGTTCTTGTCCTTGAGCCTGACCTCCAGGTCCATGAAGGTCAGCTTGTTGGTTGAGACCTGGAACTTGTCGTTGGTAAAGAGACACCCTGAGATCCTGTTGTAACATTCCATGGGGATCACGCCCCTCTTCTTGGGTGGACTGCACCATTCAAAACTGGGGGGGGGAAAGAAGAAGTAGGTTAGCTCGGACATTTTAAAGCTATTTTACCTTCATTTTTGCAACCAAAATTTTTACTTTTTTGCTATTTTATCTCAAAAAGCAAAATACTTATATATTTCTTACTTACTCATCTACAAATGTGTATGGGATGAGCCTCCCGTTCCAGTAACACTCAAAAATGGGTCTCTTTCCTCTTGCAGGGCGATCGGTTGACACTAAGTCTTCCTCATCTTCTTCAACTGTTTAAAAAAACAAGAACACAGAATCAGTGCCTTTTGTGTTTGGAGGCCAAGAGTAAGTACAATGTTGGGTGAATAGGTTTCCCTGTCATACAAGAATGGGTGATAGCGCAGGATGCCCTCCACTATTCCCGTCCCATCCCCCCCCCCCACACACACAGTGAAAACAATATGTTTCATCCATACCTGGTATGGAGTGAAATATAAATTAAAAAAAACACCTACCCACAGGTGGAGCATACATGTCGGGTGGGTAGGTTTCCCGGTCATACAAGAACGGGTGATAGCGAAGGATCCCCTCCACTATTCCCATCCCCTCTACTGTGAAAACAATATGTTTCATCCATACCTGATATGGAGTGAAATATAAATTTTTAAAAATGACCTACCCACAGGTGGAGCATACATGTCGGGTGGGTAGGTTTCCCGGTCATACAAGAACGGGTGATAGCGCAGGATTCCCTCCACTATTCCCGTCCCCTCCACCGTAGCCTTGAACTCAAAACTGTCGGCAGATTTCTGGATGTACTGAGTCTGCATGTCGTCCTGCAAGTCTCTAAGGTCCACTATCTTCTCCTTACGACCCATCTGGATGAGTTTTATCTGAAGAGTAGAGAGACAGTGAATAGAGAAAAAGCTCCCCCTGGTGTCTAATACAGGAACTAAACAATTTGTAACACTTTCAGTTTATACTATAAGAAAAATACTTGCTGTTGTCAAGAGTTACTTTTGCTATAAAGATCTAGAGTAAGAACTCCCCCTGTTGTCTGATATCGGAACTGCACATCATTAGTGACTTAAAAGGATAAATGCGTCCACTATATACGGTTCTTGAAAGACTTTGTAAAATGATTGCTAGCCTGGTTACCAGACCTGTTACAGCTCCCGAGTCCTACATCATCTCTGCAAATATTTGGGAGCTATAATAGGTCTGGTAACCAGGCTAATGCAATGATTGCTAACTGAGTAAAAATTAGATTTCCTCACACTCACAGAGTACCAGCAGTAACTAGAAGAGCCTACCTGGATGTGGATGTGTTGTGAAGGGCTGTCACATCGAGGTTTCCTCCCCCCTTCAGCTGCAGCAATATTTCCTTGAGGGCCATGGAGGTAGTAATGGTAGATGTGGCTAAAAAACATAATACATGCATTAGTAATGCAAATTAATAATATACATGTATCTTCCTAAGTCATGATCATAGCCATCTAACCAAAAAGATGAACACACATTTTCTAACATTGAATATGGAAAATTGATTCTAAACCCAAAACTTTTCTAGTCACATACATGTACCTACAAATTTAATTGTCAATATCTTTCTCTTGGCTTGGCTTCGTATCCGAAGATTGTCAATATACTTTGTCTGGAAATACACAAACCCACATGTACAGCTCAGGAACCCAAAACAATACTTCCAGTAGTAAAAACATTGTCTTTCTCCTTTAGCTTTTGTTTATGTAGTAAGTACACACACACACAAACACACACACACAGAGCTCAGCCACCCAAAACAATACTTCCAGTAGTACAATCCTTGTCTTTCCCCACCTGAGTTGTTTTGGCCAGTACTTCATGTAGTCCTTGAGGAACTTGAGATGAACAGTGTTAACATTTGTCACCACCACAGCTGTGAAGCTCTCTCTACCAGTCTCTTCTGTAATGATCTTCCTGATGTGTTCTTCCTCCGAGCTGATGTGGGAGGTGTCGCCGGGCTGCATCGTCATAGAAACAAGAGGTGGTCAAGGAAACAAGGGGTTGTCATGGTAACAATGTGTCCTTTCGGTAACAATGTGTTGCCATGGTAATAACAGGTTGTTGTCTTGTCAGAAAAATTATGTAAATGAATTCTATGGATTGTGTTACGAATGCAGGTTACTTACTAGAAATAGGATGCAATATACAATTCAAACTCTACTACTGGATGAAATAGGGAGATATATAATTTGTTTCTAGACATTTTGAGTGACATCCACCACTCTAAGACATTGATGAAATATTAGTAACATTTAGTAAATGTTAAGTCTTAGGAAGTGAGGTTTGAAACTTAAAGAAAAAATAGTTAAAGAAGAGTTACCTTCCTGTTCCTGATGTACCCACTGTAGATCTTCTCTTTGTTCTTCTCTTTCTTCTCAAAGTCTTCCTGTGAGATCACCAACTCATGGACATCTTTGGAATTCTTGGGTTTTGTGATCATCTATGATCAAAGAGAAATGAGACACTGTGACACATGTAGTTGTTAATATGTGTATTTTTCTATCATAACGTGTGTTGGGGTGCTATGCCAAGGGGTAGTTATAATAGCTATACGGATACAGAACATCATACAGTGCACCACATTAATTGAAGCAATAGTTGTTATTTTCTTTCTGATTTTTCTAAAGCTTAAGGGGGTAGAAGGAGAGGGATGGGCTCTGCCTTCCAGTATCGTGCCCTAGAATCAGTGGATTAATAACACACTGCCTCTACCGCCTCAAAACGGCAAAGGGAGTACCTTAACATTGTAAAATTTACTGAAAAGGGAAAAGATACCAAACTCACCCTTGTTGTTGTTCCAATGAAGAACACAGCCTGTTTGCCTCCCACACCGAAATATGAGATCTCACTGTTCAGAGACCGTGGCCTCCAAAAACCCAAGTCACTGGAAATATAGAACAACAATTTTACTTCTACATATTTTTCTTTCATTCAAAATGACAGCAAACAGCAGAACTAGAACAGCAAGAGACCAAAGATGACAGGGAACAGCAGAACTAGAACAGCAAGGGAAAAGGTGACAGGGTACAGCAGAACTAGAACAGCAAGAGACCAAAGATGACAGGGAACAGCAGAACTAGAACAGCAACCAACAGGACAATACACACTGTATACCAAAAAGAACAATAATGACATTATGTAATGATCACACCCAAAACCTAAATGAAGAAAAACAGAGGGGCTTGAACTGTCTACTGTGAAACAAAAGAATGGAAACAAACTTCATCCCATGAGGGGGGAGGGGGTATGGTGAGGGTACCTGTCCCCAGCGGCGGGGTCGACGCGTGTGCGTGTGTCCACGGTAGCCTGGGGAGTGGACTGACCAGCCCCACCCCTGCAAGGCAAGTGGAACCTTTGCTGTGTTAACAATTCAATACATGATCATCTCTCATTACAAAGACACTTTTTGATGTACAGAAGTTAAGCATTAGAGACATTTGTGACTACATTACCAGCATTCTAGCAGTCATGGCATTGTTCTCAATATTGTCCAACTTTTTAAAATAATTTTTCAACAAATGTTTGTAATGTATGCATTTCATTTGTGTCATAACTCAAATCTATGCATGCATAAACAAGTATTTGAAATGACAGCTATACATGTTGGATTAAGACTAGTACGAGATCAAATAAAATTGTCCATGACTGTTATATGTACTTTAAATTAAGATTCCACTTTTTTTTCAGTATCGACCACTTACGTGCTTCTCCGCCTGTCCTTGCGGTTGAACTTGGAAAGTCGGTAGACGGCCCAGTCGTTCAGGTCCTTAGAGGTCATGCCGTGCCCATTGTCAAGGACACAGATACAGTGTTTCCCTCCTTCAATCCTGTCATCCAGAATCTACGGGGACAAACAAGAGGCTATCTTTAACACTCCCTCAGTCCTGTCATCCAGAATCTGAGGGGACAAACAAGAAGATAGCTTTAACTTAGTTTAAGTTTAACCACTGCCTCAATCCTGCCATCCATACTTACAATGCGGAGTTCAATATTCCTGTCACCCACGTTGTCAGCAGTTGCTGCTAGAGCATTGTCAATCAACTCAGCAAAGGCATAGGCTGAAAGTATACAAATACAATTCGAATAGTTACAGAAATGATTACAGGATTAGAAACATAGAAAGGTGAGTTTACATTTGCATGCAAATGAATCAAGTTTACCTTCACGTGGTCTGACAAACTTCTGCTCTGTTTATTCTTACTTAAATGCACTTATACATGCATACATGGTTACAGGCCCTTCCATCTCATTACAGGCCCTTCCATCCCATTCAACACTACAGGGTGTCTGTACAGTACCAGTTACAATCTGGCCAAAATCTTTCACCCTAACATCTACTTCAGATATGCACCAATGATACTTACGGAGTGGATTCTGTCCCTCGCTAGCGTAGTACTCGTACATGCCACTCTTCACTAGAGTGTCATAGTGAGGCAGGTAGTCGATTCGCTCCTGTGTGGGTGCAGCTAGCTCTTGATCCACATTGTTCAGGATATACAGGGTATCTCCATCCTCCAACAACTTATCTGTGGACAAGAGAGTACGTCATTTCAGAGATAGCAGACTTCACCCCCTTACCCAGCTCCAGTACAGGGTGTCTTCATCCTCTAACAACTTATCAGATAATATCTGTCAACCCAATCCTTTCATCTGATCAGACTTCTGCTTTGCAACCGTTGTAATATCTTCTTTACATCTAAATGACAGACTTCAACTCCTTACCTAAACAACCCAAACCCTTCCAGGCTCCTCAAGCAGCTGATCAATACAAGCGATCACCGTTTTCTGTTTACATTATATAAATGCAAGTTATTTGCAGACATATGCAAATTTTTGGGTAGGCAACTCAACCAACTGTCACCCGCGTTTTGCCTACCATGACATCATGGCGATAACTCGTATAGCTGTGAACAACTGATTAGTAATTATACTTTTATTATTGCAATAAAACCAGCATGCTTATTTTGCTTACCATATGTCTTGGTATCTTTGATCTCTTCTCTGTTGGTTGTCACGACCACGAACTCCTCATCATCCTTGAGCTTAAACACCTGTAAACAAACAAACAAACAAATCACCATGCATCACTGTAAGTTCTAGTTCGACCGCAAATTTTTTTATTTACTAACTCGTGCCCAGGCGAACTTTCAAAACTAGCTAGAAAAGCATGCATATTTTTTATTACTTCACATATTCATTTTATCATATGCTTGAGGAATGTGAAATCTTGCCGTTGTGGTTCATCAGCAACTTTATTTTTATTGATCTGTATACTTGTAATAATCTGATCTGATCGACGCATAAATGATAAATCTGAAGAAAAACAAAGACCCCTCCCCCGAGAGTGCATGGCGTTTTCGCGGGCACGCAAAACTTGTAAACAAACCTCGCGGATTCGGGCCTTAAACGACTCGAACTTGAACACCCCGCCTAGCTGGATCTTCCTCTCGGGGTAGTCGCCCTCTCGGCGGTCGTACACGAAGACAGAGGTCTCCTCCTCGGCGTCCATCGCGCCTGAGCCCGAAGAACGTGCTCCACGGCTCCCGCCAGACGCCATGTTTGAACGAAAGAGTGACAAGTCCCCATACGTAGCACAACAAAATAAGCCACATAACTAAAATAAATCTATTCATATACGATATAAGTAGTATTTAGGAATAAATTCCTATTTTTCTATAATAAAAAATGCAAGTTAAATATTAATTTTGGTACCCTTGAGGAAAAAATCGCTACAAAACACAGTAAGACATGTATGAATCAGTAAATAATAATTTACGCTAGATGGTCCTGAAGGGTTAGGGTTTCCTTTTTAACCGGAAGTGAACGTTGTGATGCACTTTTTAGTCTAATTTCAAGGCTTAAAGATAGGTTTTGCTTTGCATTCAGGAAGAAGCATAAAAGTTTTAATGTTTCTGAGTAAATGCGATTGACTGTGATACTAAAACTGAGCAAAGCAAACAATAAAGTTGATGAAAAGGCACACATTTTGGTGTAACCTTTGACCCACCTTCACGCAAGCTCCCGGATGTGCGTCCTCTTCGTGGCAATCTGTCTGGCGGAAAGATGACGAGAGGTGAGATCTGCAAAAAATAATCATTTTACCACATATTTACCTCAGTTGCAACGGAACGAAATTGTAGATTTATTCAAAATATAGTTCTCCTTAATATAGCGCTTGGTTTTTGTGTCGTGAAGTGTTGTTTTTGAGGAAAAAGAGGAAAATTTGGATGGTGTTAGTGGGTGGGTACGGCAAAATGGCCTTTAGACCGACGAAGGCGTCGTATGTTTGCCACGTGTGCAGTGCAGGTGTTGCATGTTTTCAGTCGCAAGGACGTTAGAAAACGTTCTGAAATAATTCTTTTCGATAGTGGCGTCTTTTACGTTAGGAATTTCTGTTTTTGATCGTGCAGAAGTCGCAAAAATGGTCGTAAAATATGCAACAAGTATGATCGTTTTGTCGCATCCGGATCAGCTGATTTTGAGAGGCTGCAAAATGGCTGACTTGGCAAAGGGGGAGGGGGGCTTTTGCTCAGAACTGCTGCTTCTATCCAAAACTGCATCAACAGAAGAGACCTTTATGAAAACAATGAATTTACATGCATCAAATCATTAGATGACATGGTCTTTGTGCTGTAATTCACTGAGCAAACATCACAGTTTCATTCATTATTAATGAACCATATTACTGTTAATATGAAAATTTTATGCCCTATTAAAATTTCCTGATGATCATTTAATGATCATTTGCTTTCCTAGTAGTAGTCCTGTTATGCTGGAAAAGCTTATTTTGTATTAAAAAAAAAGTGAAAAGAAAAACTTTTAAAAGGCTAGAGATCTGTCCGAAATTATGATGTAAAAAAGACAAAAACCGTAAATTTTAATATTGTAAGGATACAATATACACCCCCACAAACTATTGGACCAGTCCGGTCAGAGGTCACGGACTGCACATGTTCTGACAAGAATACATTTCATATCCCAGCACTTCTCGCATCTTCATTCCCGGAGTGATTACTTATAAGTTCCAATTCCTTCACCAACTGGACACTTATATTGGTGGCAGCGGTGTCTGGCTTCGAACTCCCGCCAGCTCTGTCTTGTGGATCGCATTTGGAGCACATTGCCGACCGACGTTCGAGCGCCCCCCTCCCCCACCTGGTTGACTCGTGTCTACCCTGCTCTACCAAGACTCCAGGTATGGCTAACCTCCATCCGTTTACGCTAGAAGACGATGAGGAAATTACCTTTCCACGGCTGCGACCACTGTTGTCACCTTCAGAAATTTCCCCCAGTCAATCCCGTGGCGCATCCGGTGTCCGAACTGCAACCACCCTCCCAGGCGCCCTCCCACGTACAACACCACAGGTGGGTCCCACACCACTGTACAATCAGTATGCTCAGTCTGCTTACGCTACAGGATCTTTTCCTGGTAGGGGTACCGTGCCCACAGCCACGTCTGTTGCTGAATCCAACACTCATGGGACCAGCCCTGCCGGGGCTTCTTACCACCAGGCTCCACCCCCTGCCATGACTCAGGACACCACCAACCAGCAACCCTCGTCAGACCTCCGCCTCAAGACAAGACTGCCACCCACATTTAACGGCACTGATGATGACTTCACCTTGTGGCTCAACAAATTTGACCTTTATGCCACTTCTCAGAAGTACACCCCTGAGGAACGTGCCATGGCCCTCCCAACTTTCCTTGACCACCATGCCCTGCGTTTCTACCTTGGTTTGCCGAGGCAGGCCCGTGCTACCTATTCAACACTGACTCAGCGCCTGGCCACTGCCTTTTCCAAGGAACACTACATTTACACGTTCCGCCAGTCGCTCCAGGAACGAACACGCCAACCTGGAGAACCCTTGATCGTATTTGCACTTGATCTACGCAGGTTGGTAAGCCAAGCCTATCCTGAGTACAACGAAGCAGCGGTTGAGGGGCTTACCTTGGACTACTTCTTCAGGGGAATTGATCCTACCATCCGCAGACGGCTTCGCGAGGTGCAGGCCACAACAGTGGACCAAGCAGTCAAAACCGCTACCATGCTGGAACAGGCCGCTACAGCAGCTGCATGGGAGGCCAACAACGCTCATGCTGTCGATCCTACCTTCCATCACCCCGCGGTGAGTGCCGTCCGCAACGATACCTCCCTACACCGTACTGTTGCTGACCTGGCCCGCCAAGTATCAGACTTGACAGACCTCTTGAAACACCACCGCATCTCCCCCACCGATGACCCTCCGCGGTCCACGTCTCCTTTCCGTCCCCGATCCAGAGGGAGATCACCGTTCCGCTCATCAGACGCCAGCCGACGTTCTGCTCGCTCCCCTTCTTGGGACAGAACCTCACGTCGCCCTTCTTCTAGAGACAGGGACTACCACCGTCCGTCTTCCGACCGTTACCGTGCCCGCTCGCCTTCCTGGGAGCGTGATTCCCGACCTCCTTCCACTGATCGTCGCCAGAGTCGGTCTCCATCTCGCTCGGTACGTTTCGCATCATCTTCCACACAGGGAAACGACCCTCTGCTGGCACCACGGGCCGACCGCCAGTAGATCACTCCCAGGCCCGCCACGCCTCACCTACTGCTCACACTACAGCAGTCCTCGACGGACATGCCACCCGCATTCTTATAGACACGGGTTCAGCCATATCTCTAATCAGCGAAACCTTACGTGATACGATTCCTTCTCTCCGGCAATCCCAACTCAAACCTTCCTTCACCACAGCAAAATCAGTCACCGGTGAACCACTTGATGTCCTCGGCGTGTTGGACATCCACATCCGTATTGGTAACTACGACACCTGCCACCCCGTCCATATTGTGCGAGGGGCTGACCAGACTGCCCTGTTAGGATGGGACTTCTGCGTCTCCAACTGCGTAATTCTTAATGCCAGTAGAGGTACCCTCACGGTAGGGGACGAGATTGTGCCTCTCCTGACGGACACAGAACTGATTCCACAAGTCTGCAACGCATCCGTGTGCCGGATCACCACAGTCCCACCCCACGCGGTGATGGCCGTTCCCGTCACCCTCACTCCTCGGGATGCCCATGGGGTTTCTCTTCCCACGTATGTTGGCATGCTTGAACCTCGCCAGCACGACGACCGCGGCCTTGCGGTGGCCCGTACCATTGTTACTACAGACAGTTCTCAGGCCTATGCTCAAGTAACCAATACCACAGATAAACCCGTGGTTCTCCAGCCAGATACGCCCATGGGTTCCTTTTGGGCCCTCCAAGACGATGACATCGCAGATTGCCTCGGGCCATCTCCGCCCGCGGTAGCTTCAGCAGGCCCACCCATTGACCTCAACGAAACTGACCTCTCCTCGACGCAAGCTGAACAGTTGCGGAAGCTGCTGGACAACTACTCCGATGTCTTCAGCACCGGACCTAGGGACAGGGGTCGAACTAACCTCACTACTCACCGCATACATACGGGTGACTGTCCGCCTATCAAACAAAGACCACACCGCACACCTATCCACCGTCAAGCGGAAATCCACAGACAAGTTGACGCCATGCTGGCAGATGATGTCATAGAGAGGAGCCAAAGTCCCTGGGCCTCTCCGGTGGTGCTAGCTCGTAAGAAGGACGGCTCGTTCCGCTTCTGCGTCGATTACCGCAAGTTAAACCAGGCGACCATCAAGGATGCGCATCCCCTTCCCAGGACCGATGATGTCATAGACGCACTCTCCGGTGCCGCCTACTTCACCACACTGGACATGACATCAGGTTACTGGCAGGTTGACCTCGACCCTGCTGACCGCGAAAAGACTGCGTTTACCACCGGACGCGGTCTGTACCAGTTCAAAGTAATGGCGTTCGGACTTACCAACGCGCCGTCCACCTTCCAGCGCCT